TCAACACCAGTGCCGCCTACGTCAGCGTACGTCAGCCTGACCGAATGCTGCTCCTGCGCGTCAGGTCACTTCTTCGCCCAGCGTCCGGTCGAAGACCGATGCCTACGTACTCTTTGCCGCCACTGACCGGACGCGCCGGTCCAGCCGAGGCCAGCGTCCGATCACTCACAGTGACACCTTCTCGCCTCCGTTTCTTCACCGAGTTGATCCTCATCAACTCCAACTTCTTCTCCTTTGCAAATGTGCCAACACCACCAAGTGTACATCATCATGTGTATGTGTGTTAGCTTTTCACAAATATTTTCCAAAGAATTAACCACTCAACTTGCCACGCCACTCTATCTTAGCGATGATGCGAAGTTAGATCACTCGAGTGGCACTAGATGACCGATATGCAAATAAGTTTTCCCCTCTTGATAGTATGACCATCTATCCTAAACCCGGTCATAAACTTCTCTACACACCTATGACCAGTGAAATGAAATACCCTAGGTTATACCTTTGTCTTGCGCATTCCATTCCATCTCCTCCATTGTTGATGCAACACATGCACCAACCAATCACCAAATGATATGATCCACTTCATATCATCACGTGACCGTATTGGTTCATCGATCTTGACTTCACTTGCTTTTCACTGTTGCCTTCGTCCATCAGTGCCAAGTCTTGCTCAAGCTTTACCGCCACGCGGTCCATCACTCCAAAGCCTCCGACTTGTCCTTCACGCTTGCAATCGGTCCATCAAATCAAGTCATGTCTTGATCTTTTCCACCTTGATCACATGACTCCATGTCATGTCTCATGTATAATAAGCTCCTTCATCATCACATGTATGAGCTTTGTAACATTTTTGAGCCATCATCACCGTCATGGCATATGTTGCTCACATACATATACCTGTGGACTAATCACCTGTGTATCTTACTTAAACACATTAGTCCACCTAAGATTGTCACTCAATTATCAAAACTAAACAAGAACCTTTCACCCATCGAGGTGCATATCTATATCTATACCTAATATTAAAGAGGTGAAATTTATCTCCACTTATTTTTTTCGTCCGTCCCACCTTACCTAACTTTATGAATGTGAAAACCTACACCTACTATTTTATTATATAAATATATGTGATTTTAAGGTAACTTTAATATGAATCCTAATCCAAATAGACTCCCTCTGTCACACGAGCCTTCTTGCCTAGAATAGCCTGATCGAATAGGAATCCTACTCATGAAATAGAAATAGAAAAGAAAAAAAGTAGAAAGTAAGCAAATATAGGGATTTGTTAAATTTCAGGTGTCTGAATTTTAGTTTTCTTTCGGGCGACGGTTATTGTATATATTTTAAACTAAAATTGTAGTTTTAGTTCGTTGTAATTTCTGTAGACACAATCTGTAATTTTTTGTTCTGAGAATAAAAAATTCGTTAGATAAAATCACAAACCTGACAAAATCGATATGTGTTTACACAAAGATAATTTAACAAATTACAATTATTTCTATAGTCGAAAACGACAAAAATTTGATATATTATGATACAAAGACAAATAACAAATCACAAAACTAACAATTTACTCGTACTAACTAGTAGTACGAAGAGTGTTGTCTGAAATCATCTTAAAATTCAGGCACCTGAAATATAGGAAAGTGGCAAATATAAATTAGACAAAGTGATCACGTTCTTCCTCCGTGAAATTTGATCGGCTGCTCGCTGCTCCTCTATTTATTTTATATTCGTGGGCTATCATGTTGGTCTCTTCCATGTTCCATCCGGATTTAGAAATCAATATCAAAATATAAATCGAATTGAATCTTAAATCTAAACTACGGAAACCCAGCAACGCAAGGATTCAGGAATCAGAAATCAAGATCAAAATAGAAATCAAATTAAATCCTAAATCTAAACTATGGAAACCCATCGACGCGAGGACAGCGACCATGGATCGAATCAGAACAGAGCTCTATATATTTTAGCACAAATATATACAGCCTTAATCTATACTTAATAATAAAAAGATAAAATTTCAGTTTCTTTTTTGGTCTGGGCCGTTTTTCGTCTGACCCATTCTACTAACCCAACTGTCCCACTCGCTCGACTGTCGCACTTGCTCGCTTTCGGCCCATACGCGGCCCACTCCACTCGCTCGCTTGGTTAAAAGATAAATCATCTGTCCGACGCTCCTCCTCCCGTACGCCGTACGCGCGCACGACCGGAGCTCGAGCGAGTCCCGGCGGCCGGCGCTCGCCGACCGCGGCCCCGCCTCCTCCCCAGTCCCCCGCTGTGGTGGCGCCGCCCATCCGCCGTGACCTCCGGAGTCTCGGCGGCCGAGCTCGCGCGAGTCCCGGCGGCCGACGCTTGCCGTCCGCGGCCCCGCCCCCTCCCTCGCTGCGGTTGCGCCGCCTATCTACCGCGGCCTTCCGGCGGCCGGAAGCCGACGCTCGCCGTCCACGCCCCCGCCCCCTCCCTAGCCGCGGTGGCGCCGTCGCTTGCCGGACCGCCCTCGCGATGCTCATCCGTCTCGGCCTCCCGGCGGCTGGACATAGGGCTCCTCCCTGCCCCAGGAGCGGTACACGGCCAGCCTGCAGTTGAAGGTGAGGAAGGTAAAGCCCAGCAATGGCAGCCACCCCGGGCGTCCATCGCGGTCCATCCTCCTCCCGTCCGTCCAAACGGCGCTAGATTTCCTTGTCCCGTTGTCCTTTCTCTCTGAGCGGCGCCAGGAGTCCTTGATGATGAGGAAATTGGAAGGAAGAACGGAATCGAATTGGGTCTGCTATTTCCATGATGTATTCAATACAGGTTTCTCTCTTTTCCCTTGTTTCCTTATAAAATAGCTTGTGAATCTTTCTTGTTATAAAAACAAATTTAATCTTTGTTCACATAGAAGTCTCTGCATCTCGAACCAGATCTTGCAAGGTCTCGCCGGATTAGAATTGACAACAGGGATTAGGAGAGTTCCATATATTGAAATTATATCACTTTTCTCCGTTGAGAGAGGGGGAGACATAAGAAGATGACGTTGGACGGGTCTGGGCGATTAGATGCCTGGATTATGGTTTGAGCCTCTTTGCAGAGGCATTATAGTTTCAATCGATGCTTCTTCCATGTGTATTTGGCTCAATTGTATGCTTGCTGGTTCAACGTGAGCACTTTCAAGAAGATTCATGGCGAGCTTTGCAAACTTCTGGAAGTTTTCTTGTTCCAGTTCACGTGATTTGGTGAATTTGAGAGACTGATACGACATCAGCCACTATAAGTTGATTTCCCTTCTTTAAATAAACACTGATTTCTCCTATATATATGTCTGCTCCTGTAGTTTCAGAACTGAAGTGGAACAAGGGCACTCTTCTGAATTTATGGCCTCCATGCCGCGGCGGCGGCAAGGCCACCGTGATCGCCGCTGAGTCGAGCCTCACCATCCTGTCAGTGCATGTCCAGCAGCAACTGCTGCTCCAGACCATGACACTCTCCGATCTCCATCTAAAAGGTCAGGAGGGAGGAGGCACCAGTTGAGTGATGAGTCGCTCGCCCGGCCGGGAAAGTACACTGAGGTAAGTAGCCGATTCAACCTTGAGACCATTTGTTCAGGTTAGGAGCCAATTTCTTTTGATTTTGATTAGAGACTGGACAGTGCAAAGAGACTATATATAGAACTGCTCCGATGAATGAATCTCCAGCACCAGTTGTAGCTGTGAGTTCAATAGGTGATATAACTTGTGCAATACCAAGAAGATACCTGCACTTATATTGGGCATAAACAAGTGGATTTAGAAAACAACCAGCTCTTGAGTAGCAGGTCTGGTATGTCAGTGGAGGAATAAAACTATGTCTATTTGTTCTCTTAGCTGGCATTCTATGTTACTGAATTTGACTGAAAACAAAGGACAAAAGCTTAAACAAATGGAGTAGGAAAGTAATCTATGCTTATTCTTTCTCGAGTTCCTGGCTTCATATGTTACTGAAGAAAAGGAGTTATGCCTACAAGTTTTTAAGTAGCAGTCTAGGAATATTTCAGGAGCTCCAGGTATTAACTTATTTCTCTGCATCACTTGCTTTATTTCATAAACTTTGAGACTGCGCACGGATCCATTTGGTTTCCTCTCGTAGTCCCGGATTGTTGTTGCAGAAAATCTTCCTGGTGATCCCTCCTACCAGAATATTAAGAAGATATTTTCAGCTGTTGGCAGGTATGGTTATTGCAATATGGACGAACTTTCATCTTTTTTCCTTCCCAGGATCATTAAAAAGGTAATATTTTGTCATGTTCCAGTGTGATTTCAATCTGAACTTGCATCCTCAGACTCCAAATGCACTGGTCCTGCAACTAATAGATCTGCCAAGTTAGATATTCTTTTTGCTAACATAACAAGGTAACTGCCCCCTGTTTCAGTATTATATTCTGACCAGTTAACAAAATTTGGTGGATGCAGCAGCAAGATGGATATGACTCTACGGAGGCTAAGTTTAGTCTGATGCTCTTTTCTAATGAGGTTTGAGCTTTATGACAATCATATGCTTTCATGTCTCCATGACTATCTACACCCAGTGCTTGTTAGTTTTTTAGGTATATAGGCGCCTTGTGATGCTATTACTCTTTATTATGTTTATAATATGGCTAGAAATTCAGTTCACCTTAATGTCAGTAACAGCAGTTTCTGAGGTCTTATTTTAGAGCTATGCATATGGCAGTCGTCGTTGTTTTTATGATGTATTTGTGTTGACATTAGCATGTATGACTTGTTCATAGCAAGAATCAAGTGGAACTGGAATAATGCAGTTGGCTCACTTTATTATACTTGCTCCACATTCTAGGTTCACTGTGGTTAGAGAAAAAAAATGGTTTGGAAATCAAATCTTTGAGCCAACTATGCCATGGCTTATTTTGCAATTTGGTTTTAGAAAATAAACATCTTTTTGAGTGTGCATGCATGCTTTGTGTACCTACACATATGTTATTGGGCTCGATGCATGTATGAACTGATTTGCCCTCCTTTATTGCTCTTTTATTGGAATTTTTCTTTCATACAGTACTCAGAGATTATGGAGCAGATTGACCGCGATGTAAAGTGCACCACCCTGACATGCATTTCTTCTGTGCAAATGCCAATAGCTGTCTCTTCCACCAAGCTGGTAAGAAACAAGACCATAACTTGAGTTATAAATCCAAACTATTTTCCAGGGAGTAACTATTGTTTACAAAATTATGAACATAACCCCTGCTGAAATTTGTGTAAATTTTCTTGTATTTGGTTCATGCAAGTGTGAATTGGAATGCTGGTGGTCTGGTTGTTTGAATTGTTAAAATGCAATCCCCGATGATCACACAGATTTGTGATGCAAAATTGCTATAAAAAGTTAAGTAGGTAACTGCAAGAGGAAGTCAAAGCCTACCGAACTATCCCTAAAGTAGCTAAAAGTTTTTATCAAAAAATTATGGAGCTAAAGTAAAAAAAAAAAAAAATACTTCACCGACGAAACGGAGCTCTACCGAACTATCCCTAAAGCAGCATATGAAACACATGGATGGACCAAGAGGAAGTCAAAGCCAAGCCAGCAAGGGTAAAATTCATGGTTTGCGACTTACTCCTAACTTATATGGTGTATAAGGCAAGATCAAAGTGAATCATGTTTCCTGCAAGTATCTTTCATGGATCCGAGCACAAGGATTCTAAAAGAGAATTCTCTTACTTTTTCTTGTCTAGCCTGCTAACTAACTAACCACTATTTTTTCTGATATATCAGTAAGCATGGCTAAAGCCATGATCAAGGACATTGGCCCTCCTTGAACTGTCTACCATCCTATAGAAGATGATGTCAACTATGACATATATTTTTTTTCAACTTAACATACGGGCACATTTGCTAGTAACTTATTTATTACTCAAACGGCGAAACCGGTACGGAGTAAGGAGTGCTAGTACATTATTCTTTTATCCCAACAAAGTCGCTAGCTAGCATTCAACTTGCTAAGATGAGGAGGATCTTCTCCTTGAACTTGTCCATGGCCGGCTCTGGTAAGTACATGGAGGCCACCACGCAGTCGTCACCGTCTGCATTCTTGCACCTCATCTGGTAGCTCACCAGCTTGGTGGCGTGGTCGTCTCCGACGATGGGCACGCCGCCGCCCACCCGCTCCGCCCACCCCAGGTTCAGGTCGTCCTCCCCGATCCGCGTTATGTCCGACACCACGAACGTCCATCCCCGCGCGTAAGGCGCCGCCCCGCCGACCGAGAACAGATCCACCATCGACCTCACGTACTCCTCCGTCATGCCACGCTTGGCCTTCTGCACGAGCTCGACCGTGCCGCCGAGCGAGCCCGCCGCCGTCCCGCGCAGCTCCGCCTCCACGAAGACGAACCCGTTGCCGTAGAACCCGCGCGGGAGGGGCGGGGTCAGCTTGGCTTTCCCTCGAACGTTTATGGTGATCAGCAGGGACGACGCTCGCTGCTGCTGGCTGCCGTCGGCGCTCCCGCCGCACCCAAGAGCAAGAGCTATAGCTTCTGCTCGGCACATCCACATGGCGGCCGTGATGAGCTCGAAGTCCGTGGCCGGCTCGGTCACTTGGCTTCGCAGGGCGGCGATCTCTCTCGGGCCGAAGAGGAAGTAGTCACCGACCATCTTGTCCATGGCCATAGGCTGGACCGGCGGCGATGGCTCGTCCGAGACGAAGGGCAGGCTTGTCAAGTCGGGTGGGTTGCGCGCCATCAGAAGCTCCCTGTCCCACACCGGCAGAACGGCCGGGTGCTCCTGGCCTCGTGCAAGACCGGTTACGCACTTGAGGAACTGGATGACGCCGAAGGCGTCAGCCATGTTGTGGCAGATGCTGACGCCGATGGCAAATCCACCGCATTTGAACCTCGTCACCTGCACAATAGATCAGAGTTCAGACTTTTTCAGAGTAAGCATTCTTATCTCAGTTACTTGCAAATATTCTTTCCATGAACCATGATTGTGATTGAAAAATAAGCTATACTACTTTCAGCTTCCAAGTAGGACTCCAACAATAGCGAAGTAGCAACTATTGTGGTTGCAAGATTTAAGTATGGTGCTGGGGACTCACTTGCATGAACATCAGAGGCCTGCCAACGACGTCCTTGGCATCGCCGATGTCGCATACGAGCTCCTCGATGCAAGGGTATGGCGGCACCAGTGGCTCACCAAGCTCATCTAGCCGCACATCAGCATGGGCCTCCACGAACACCACTCCTTCTCCGGTGCACTCCACCGCCAGCTTACCTTTGGAGACCTCCCTGAGACGGCCGGCGATTGGGTAGTAGTACACCAGGGCCTTGGCCAGGGCCTCCCTGATGGCCTTGGCGACATCGACCACCGGGGTCTCGTGGCCGTCAACAGCGTCACGGGGGCGGAAGAACTCGATCACCGTGGCGTAGAACCACAGGGGGATCTGGCTGTCGACATCGGAGAGGGTCTTGCTCCCCTGAGGTGTTGGTGATGCCGGCGTCACCAGCTCCGGATTGCTCCGGTGTGCCTTGAAGGTCGTCATCACCATGGCGGATGTGTTGTGTGCTTGTGCAGTGTAGAGATAGTGCTCCATACTGAATGTGTATATGTACCCTGCTATGCACCACCAACACAACTGAAAACGCAGCAACTGATGCGTATGCGTGTACCCCTTTTCTTCCTTCTTTCCTGCTGCCGTTTCCTGGATGTAGCTAGTAACGGACTAACAGTATACAAGAGATTTCGTATCAGCAACCACTGAATAGCTGTTAATTTGTGACCTCTAACAGTAACGCTCATTGTATAGCTGTCAAACACTATGGCATTGTTTCTTCTCTAGGCCTTGTTATGATATTCATTAAATTTTGGGAGAGACAAAACGATTAACAAAGTGGTTGCTTCAATCTGTGGAAAACAAACTATAATTGTTACAGCGCATGCATTCAGCAGGTTTATTAGTTGAGAGGATCAGGTTTATTAGATGAGAAGAGGATCCGTCCATATTCAGTTATTAGAGAAACTCGAGCAATGTCCCCCTAAAACAGGCCCCTACTTAGGATCTGAGGGATACGATGCTTCCTCTATTTTTGAGAGTCCTATTTCTGATAGTAACTCCAGTAAGAACGTGCAGTGTAGCTAAGGCAAGGTGAATCTCTGCTAGCTTAGAGGTAGTGCTCCACACTAGAAGGTGTATATGTACCCTGGATTGCACCCACACAATTGAAAAGGCTTGGCATGATAGACAGAGCTTCCACGCGCGGTGAGCAGACTTCCCCCTCCTTCAACTTCGTCTGGCGCAACTTCGCTCCGCCCCGAGTCAAGTTCTTCGGCTGGCTCCTCACCAACAACCGCATCCAATGCAAGACGTCCCTCCGCCACAAGAACATCCTCCAGAACGTTGAGTGCGACGTCTGCGGCGCGGCGGATGAGACAGCCGACCACATCATCTTCGGCTGCCCCTTTGCCAGCTCTTTCTGGAGACGCATCGGATGGCAAACGGGGGCGATTGCCGGACTCGGCGGCGAGCTCTCTAATTCTCCTCTGCTGCTGGGAACTATGGAAACATCGGCACGACGTCGTGTTCCGGGCCATGGGTCACGGCCGCCTGCAAAGAGGCAGTCAGGCTTTGGCGCTGCCGTCTGCCCAAGAGAGAGAGAGCATACTGCTCAGCTGTTGGGACTCACTGTTAAACTTGTAATCCAATCCCTGCCCCCTCTCTAAAACTAAATGTAATTGGATCGGCGCCATGCCCTTTCACCCTCCGGCATGGCCTACATCTGTGGAATAAAAATTCAGGCGTGGAGGATTTTCTCCTCCTCACCTAATTTTTTTTTTTTTTTAACACTTTTTAAAACTATTTTTAACAGTCCGGTCAAACTTTTACGGTTGGGTCAATCTCCTGGTTCATCAACGACAACGGTGATGAGGAGATCGTCGAGCCGGCGCAGAACTCTACTGCGCCGACCACACCGACGCCTGCAATAGCAGATCTGATTTCGGAACCGCCTCCGAAGTCGTCTTTCCCAACAACTTGCCGCCTGCTGCCCCGCTACTCGAGGAAGCAGGTCGGCGAAATTTTAGGTGTGGAAGACTTTCTCCCCCTCTCCCATTTTTTTTTATTTTTAGCACCTTTTTAAAATTATTTTTAAATCTAACATGTCTTAACATCTTTTGGCCATGCCACGCCATGTATGGCGGCGCGGCGAGCCTGTGGCGGTCAGCCGAGCGCTGACTCGCTGACGTGGCACAACTTACAAAAAAAATGTATCTTTTTTCATATGATCTTGGATGAAGATAATATTTATATGAAAACTGTAGTTCTCGACGAGATCTACAACTTTTTAGTATTGAGTTTTTTCATTTGACGTTGTTAAGATGCTAAAAAATAATATAAAGTTTCGGCATCGTATTAATCGCGTACAAAGCGCTCATCGCCTTGGAAAAATCGCATCTTTCTTATATGGTTTCAAATGGAGATACTTTCTATACGAAAGTTGTAGCCCTCGATGAGATCTACAACTTTCTAGTTTTGTGTTTTTACATTTGAAGTAGTTAAGATTCTCAAAAAAATAATATAAAGTTTCATAATCGTATTAATCGCATACAAACTCTTATATTTTTGAGCATTTTAACGACATCAAATGCACAAACTCAAAACTAGAAAGTTGTAAATCACATCAAGAGCTACAACTTTGTTATAGAAAGTATCTCCATTTGGCATCATATAAGAAAGATACGATTTTTCAAGGCGACAAGCACTCGTATGCGATTAATACGTTGCTGAAACTTTATATTATTTTTTTGTGCATCTTAACGATCTTAAATGAAAAAACTCAAAACTAGGAAATTGTAGATTCATCGAGGGCTATAATTTTCATATAAAGAATATCTTCTTCCAAAATCGTATGAAAAAGATATAATTCCTAAGTTGCACCACGTAAGCGAGTCAGCGCTCGGCTGACTGCCACGTGGCAGGCTTGCCGCGCCATCATGGCGCGGTGGTTTTGCCGCGTCACTATGCATGGTGCGGCCAAAAAGGTTAGTTTTAAAAAAAGAAGTTACGAATTGTTAGATTTGAAAATAGTGTTAAAAATGTTAAAAATAAAAAAATTCCCCGTGCAGACTAAAAAAATTGAAAAGGCAGCATCTGATGCTTGTACTCCTTTTCTTCCTTCTTTCCTATTGCCGTTTGCCGGATGTAGTAACGGTATACAAGAGATTCCGTACCAGCAACAACTGAATAGCTGTCAATTTGACAATTTGTCACTTCTAACAGTAACGCTCAATGTATAGCTGTCAATTTGTCATTTCTATCTATAGACCAACACTAAGACATTGTTTCTTCTCTTGGCCTTGATATTCACTGAATTTTGGAAGAGAGAAAACAATTAACAAAGGGCTTGTTTGGATATATGGAAAGTGGACTAATTGTTACAGCGCGCAGTGGATTCAGTAGGTTGATATATTCAGTTAATATTAGTATATATATGCAAAAAATATATATGAAAGATTAAACTAAAAAAATATTTACAAAAACATATAGTAAAACCATGCATCAATATTTAAATACTAGAACATACAATTATAGTTGGCCATAAGGCCCATAGCCCATCAGCATGGCCCATGGCCTAATGATTTGGCACAGTTCAGACATGGCCAAGACTGACTGTAGAGCTGCGCTTGGGTGGCTCCTCTAGCACGATGTGCCGGCTCCACACGGCCCGATTAAAGCCTAACCCTAACTTACCTTATTTCTACCGCCGCTACTTTCTCCTCCCACTCTCCCTTCAATCCTTTATATTTTTCTTCCGTTCCAACCAGTGGGAGGTGGCGGCGTTGTGGCCTCGTCCCCATCCTATGCCGCGGGGAGTAGGTGGCGGTGTGGCCCGACTAGCGCACGCGAAGCAGGCGGCAGCACAGGCCGCTTGCGCACGTGGAGGAGGTGAGGCGATGGTGCGGCCCTGTCCATGCGCATGGAGGCGGCAGCAGCGGCGATGCAGCCCCTGCTGGCTGTTGATGGTACACCTGTTTTTACCATCAACATTCCACCCAAAAGCATGATAAAGTGAGGTAAAACATCATCACAAATGTTGTATTTTGTTTATAATTCATCTAGTTCCACTTGTGCTTGTAGAATTATTTGTATGCAGAAAATTATAGCAAAAATGGACCAAAATAGTGACAAATATTGGCAAAGGAGTCAAGTGGATGTGGCAGTGGGGCCAGGGACCCACATGCCATGCCGGCTGGTCCCACAAGGGTGTCGCCCGATGTGCCATTCGGCCTGGCCACATCACCGATCCGTGGGAGCTGCTCCAGAAGCAATGCCAAGCGTTGATCTAAGTCGGTTTGCACCGATGGACAAGATGGAGTTGACGCGGATCCACCGGCCCACCGTCATACACTTGGGAGGCTCCAAGCGAACTACAAACCGCCTTATCTGCTGAATTTCGACATGTGCTAGTCCTATAACTACCTTTGAGAGCCAACGAGCACCGGAGGATCAAGAGGCGGTGGATCCAAGGGCTGGATAGCGCCCCTAGCCACCGCCCAGCACCCTAGGGTGGCCACCGACCTCCTGGCTACCTACAAGTACCCCCTCACTCTATAGTATAAATATGGGGTGTGGAGTGTTAGCGGTCCTGAACAACGAATTCCGACTACCAATTACTATCCAAAATGGGAGAAATAAACAAACTTTCGACACATATGCTTTTAATATTGATATAGTTCCACTTGTATTGGAAGAAATATGTTTTGCAGGACATACATTTGAATACAAGTGGAAAACAAAGAAAAAGGCGCAATTTAGAAAGCGTAATGCAGAAATGCGCAAAGGAGTAAAAGGAGAAAGCCCACCTACACGCTAAACCTGGGCTAGGCACCGATGTGGAGGCAACCTAGGCCCAGCCAGAAGCCCACCAGAGAAAGGCGGTGGCGAGCGGAGCAGGCCAGGGTGCGGCCACACCACCCCCAGCCTGTCTCGGCCCCACTTCGCTTTGGCGGTTGCATCGCGGCATGCATAGGCGGTTTCCGATGGTTTCCTAATTTATCAGCGCCGAAACCGACCTCACTCTAGTGTAAATATAGGGGTGGAGCTCTCTCTCTCTCTCGATGAGGACATCACTCCTTCAGATGCACCACCCACTGATCCTCCAACCATTATGCAAGGTCTAATGACCCGAGCTTGAAGGCGACAACTTAATTTAGAGGTGAGCTCGTTCTTAAGTGATCCTTTTCGTACTTTTGAGAATAGATTGCTACCTAATGATGTTATATTGATTTGGAACATCGGAGAGGGTCATGAGGGACTTAGAGGAAGAGGTGGAGGCAATGATGACCAGCAAGGACGTCCAACAGGAACTGGAGGCCCGGTCCAACATGATTTCGAGTCTGCGTCGACCTCTAGGACCAGTCTGCCTTAAACTGGTGACCTAGGACACATCCGGACTCCGTTTTCGACGATGCACATATGGAAGGAAAGCTAATTTGATAAGGAAGCCAATCCAAGTGGTCTCACGTAAAAAGCTATTCGGAATCAACGGGAAT